TCAGTGCTCAGAGGTCAAAAAATGAGTACTTCAAAATGATGCACAACCTTAATTACCACTATTCACATTTTAGACAGACAAACATTTCCTAAAATACCTGACCAGGCTGCTTCCAATACTTGTACAAACCGAAGTCCTGTTCCTTGTTGTATAACAAAGGCCAGAAAGCTCCCAAATGAGTTCATGAAAACAAACTAGTTACTAAGAACATGCAAATTCAAAACACACGTGTTCATACTGCATGTGACTAATTGATTTCAGGTACTTCACTATGGCAAGGTACGCAGCAAAGCTGTAGCTGGAAAAGGTGTGTAGCTGTGGGGCATGGCACAGCTACAGCCCAGTGGGGACTCAGAGCTGACAGAAGGCAGAGCTAGCTGCCTTACAGTAGGCAAGGACCTACTTCAGCAGAACCCTGGAGCAAAGCTCACCACACAGCTCAGAGAACTCTGGTGTTTCTGCCATGTATTTGGTTCTAACTTCCTGCCACTACTGCTCTGCCCTATTTTGGCCAAGTGGTACTACTGTCAAATTATTGGCTCAGATGAAATAATAATATCCCATACAGAAACAACCACCACTTCTGATATTTATACTGGAGTATCTGATGTGTTGTGTAGATGCCTTGAAAGCAAGAATCCAACAAGAACCTTTAGCAGTATCAACTGTCAGGGCATTTAATAATTTGCTGAAGGACACAGGAACAAAAAAAAAAAAACAAACAAACTAAATTCAAGCCAACTACTTATAGAGGAACTGTACTCGATCATTTCTCTTTGATACAGTGCAGTTGGTAGGTTCATAAAACCAGTTAACACACATGAGATGAGAGTATGCTTCAAATAATGGTGGTCAAAGAAAGAGGTGGGGAAAAAACACAGGAGATCTTACTCAAGTTATGGTTGTTTAAGAAAAAGAAAATGCTAAGCATGGTAGTTGCTGTATATTTCTGCTTTGCCTTTTAATAAAGTTAAAAGAAAATAATAAAGGCAAAATGAAGCATTCCTTGGCGCTGGTCCATTTACCTACCAAAATCATAGCAGTCTCAACTTTCAAAAATGTATTTCCAGAAACAACATTTAACACATTGTCCAATAAAAGTTAAACCAAAACCACGTGAAAAAGTATTTAGAGGGAAAAGCTCAAGTTCAAAGCATTACCTGTCAGGTAGTGACAGAGGATGACTCAATGTGATGCTGTTTCCCCCTTGCTTAGCCACAAAATTCACTCAAAATTAACTTTCATCGTAAGACTACATAACAAGCATATATTTTTGATAAAAGACACTACAAAAAAACCCTCCACCTTTTCTTCTTTCTGGACTTTTAGTGTGTGCCATGCATGCTTTGATGAGACTCTAGAATCAAAATAAGGAGCCCACAAGCCATTACACTATTTTATTCTTCTATATTAATAAAAAATCCAAAATACATGCATATGGGTTTGTCAGTATTTGTTATTCATCTTTATACAATAACGCAAGTTCTAAAAGGTAAGCTGCTTATGGACGTCTTCTCAGACTTGATTTGAATGTAGCTTTCAATAAGTAGTTATCAATTTAGCCCACACCTCATACATGACACTTGCTGCACAGGCAATGTCATAGAACTAAATACCACTTTGAAATTTCCTCAACTCTGCCGTCACACAAGATTTCCAAGAGAATATTGCAGTATTGCTACCAAAACCAATACATCCAACCCTTTTTCCACTATATTAAATTAGAAGAATCTTAGACAAGGATCTGTACAGACAGATGCTACAATAATAACCTAAAAATGCACCTAAGTGTCTCCCTGCACCTTGATCTTATCTCTGCACAATATTGTAACATGCTTTCTAGCCTTGAGACAAGACACTAGGGCTCATCATATTCTGATATGTGACCCGAGACAGGACCATCTCATGGCTAGGAACAGGTTCAGATAATGATTGTGGTACAGCCCTCACCAGAATAATATACACCTGACAAACATGCAGGATCCACCAAGATACCTGTAGGAATTGCAGAGGAGTGGTCCGTAAGCCTTGATCTACATGTATTGTAGGTACCTATTTTTCCCCAAATTAACAGTGGTTTCCATTCTGTGGCAACATAGAGATCTTCTGCTATTAAGATTTAAATGCACAACCAATGACAAGGTTATAAATCACTTTCACTAAAGGTTCATTATAGCTGCCTTGATGCCACCCTAGAATAGATAGGCATGGCATAAACTCACGGTGAAACTGACTACTGGTGCCAGCTTTTGCAACACAAACACCAAAAAAGACACAAAGTTACTCCTGTGTCCTAAGCCCGGTTTTCTTTAGTACCACAGCAAAAAGCATTTAAAATAGTGGGTCAAAGACAACATAAAGCCATCTGTCAATGGATACTTATCCATCTTGGGAGTTCTTGCCCAAAAATTATTTCTGCAAGACATTTTTGTTTGTGTCCTGAACTCTCAAACTAAGTAAGTAAGCAAATTCTGTGAGGACATCCTCTTGACCCCATTGGCCTACACTGAGAAGCCTAAAAGAGGACTAAGTCTGATGCAAGCTACCTTGAGACCACACAAGGAAAAAGCACCTTGCTTTGGAAAAAACGTGGTAATGAAAATGGAGCAGTAGTTCTAATACTACTGGCACTAGTTACAATGACATTTTAGGTGAATGCAGCTCAACAGGCACTACCAGCTGAAAAATCCCATCTCTTGTTCTGGTAGAATTCAAACAGAATACTTAGATAGCAAATGCTTATAAGCTAAACAAGGGACTGCTTCCAGAAGTACCCACTACTGTGAGCTAATTGTAAGCCACGTAGGTCAGAAAGAACAAACTAATCAATGTGCAACTTCCGGGACATGAAAGGTGACGTGTGCTGTTACCAGAGCTGCACAGAGAAACAGCAAAGCACGTTGCCAAATCAGAGAGGTATGAAGTTAATCAAACCAATAACATCTGAAAGAAAAAACAAATCTAGACACCTTTTTCTAAGCTAAAAAATTCTGACCCTTGTCATCAGAAAAGAAAATGCATTCTCAAATCGACAGTCTGCTGCCATAGTTTTTTTCAAGCAAAAACAGCCTGAAGGTTTTACGTCTGTGGCTAGTTTCACTTAGAGCACTTTGAGCTCTAGCAACACTGCATTAACACAAACAACTTTTTGTCAGCTGAGGTAGTATTAAAGTGTTTCTTTAATATGTTTCTAGAGGCTTCTATTCCACTCTTTATCTTTTGCATTTATTTCAAACTGAAGCTATAAAACTCTGAAAGCATTTACTAGATGTCAGAGATAACAGTTGTAACACACAGTTGTAACACAGTGAAACATTTGAATTTCATCTGTCACTTCCTCAAAAGACAAAGCAGTAAGAAAGGAAAAGGTAACTGTTTTACCCAGGGGAAGGACCAGTGAAAGGCAGAAGTTTCCCCAGTGAGAATCAGAAGCTTCAAAGAAATCTAGGCATGGAAAAGACAAAAAGAGTAAACACTGAAAGACTGTTCTAGAAGATCAAGGGGAGGGAGGAGGATGAAAGGAGAAACATTTGTCTCTAGCTGACTACATCACCTAGAAGGAACAGACCTGGAAATAGATTAAGATACCAAACCCATGGTCACAAGAGGTAAGGCCATGTTACACCTCTGACCAGGATGACACTGTAGGACAGGAACAGACAACTGCAAGACCCTGACAATGGAAAAGAAAACACATCTAATAGATCTTCCTTGTTCACTCAAGAATTTCAACCCAAAATCTAACAGTAAAAATAAAAAAATCAACACCCATGGATGAGCTTTCCTGTTCCTTACTTTAATACATACCTGTATTAAACCCAGTTGGCAGAATAATGGTACATTAAGTGATTTCCTCACATAAGATACTGTCCATATCCCCAAAGCAGCACTTGTACTTAGCTGTTACAAGAGTGGCATGTGGCATTACCCTCCTGCTGGAGTCACACATTGAACAGACACAGCTGCTGTAACCAGCCTTGTCTTGCTCCTCTTTTCTTCCTCTTGTTCTCTTCCTTCCTGCAAAAACTGAAGGCTGACCCCTGAACCATAACTTGAGGAATAAAGGCAGAACAGATCTGCTCTCTTTCTTTACATTTAAGTCGAGGCCCTTGTCTTTACTATTTACTAAAAAACTATATCAATTATTACTTTTGCATTGAATGAAACACGGGTTTCTAACAGAGAGATAATTGTTACTTTTTAACTAAGTTTTTAGAGTTCTTTTATTTACTTGAAGTCTCACTCCAGTATTAAAATATACTTCCTTTCTGTTTGTTTCCAATAAAAATAAAATTAAGTACGTACAAGCATAAATTGGTTATAACTTTGTATTCTATGTTGTGGGGGTTTGCTAGGTTTTTTGTCTCTAAGAACACACAGCTGTATATAGCCAGCAGTATTGTGCCGTTCTGCACAGCAAACCACGTCCTCTCTGAAATTCATGTTTCTTCGCACGGGCAAACATTTCTTATTAGAACACAACCACGACACACAGCTTTTAAAGTTCTCTGCCACACAGTGAACACAGGAAAGTGAAGAACTGGAGTGCCGCGTCCCTGAGGAGCAGTCGGGTCAGCCACCTACGGCTCCAAAGCACGGCTGAGCGAAAAGGAAAGCAGCCACCAAGTCAGCATTTCTCTAAATCTACCTGTTGTTGACACGGCTGAGGTCCCGAATTGTCAGCTCTCCCCGCGCACGCCCCGCACCCCGCTCGGCCACCCGCGGAGCCGCCACAGCGGCAGCGCGGCCCCGGTCCCGTCCCGTCCCGCCGGGCCAGCCCCCAGGCCCCGCGGTCCCGGCCGTGCCCGTGCCCGCTCCCCCGCGGTCCCGGCCGGGCCGGCGGCAGCGCCGCCCGCAGGCGGCCCCGCTCGGCCCCCGCCCCGCCGGCCCCGCAGCCGCCGCGCCTCGGCCCCGCCGCGCCTCGGCGCTCCGGCAGCGGCACGTCCAGGGCACGGCGGCGGCGGCACGGCCGCTCTCCCCTCCACCTCCGCCCCGCTCACCTTGGGGAAGGTGCCCTCCCGCCGGGGGCTCTTCGGGTGGTCGAAGTGGCCGCGGTCCAGCATCAGGTACAGGGAGAAGATCACCACGCAGAAGACCGCACTACCGAACACCGTGAACTGCCGGCTCAGCTTCATTTCCGCGGCTGCCGGGCCGGCGCCGCCGCCGCCGCGCTGCTCCCGCCGCGGCCGGCGCACCCGGGCCCCTCTCGCCGCCCCGCAAGCGGAGGCGAAAGTTCTGCCGCCGCGGCGGGGACCGCAGGCGCTGCCGCCGCCGGAGCTGGGCGGCCCAAATCCTTCTCCGGAGAAGTGCGAGAAGTTCCCCCCCGCCCGCCTCGCCGGGGCCGAGAGCCGTGTCGAGACCCCACCGGCGGGACTGAGAGGAGAGCCGAGTTTCCGGGAGCGGATCGAGTTCACGGGCAGGAAAGCGCCCAGCGGGGAAGTGGCGGCGAGCGGCACCGCCGGGCCGACCAAGCGGCGCCGCTCCTCGCTCCTCGCTCCCTTCCTCTTCCTCCTCCTTCTCCTTCTCCTCCTCCTGCGGCCGCCTCAGCAGCCGCTCCGCTCCGCTCCCCCTCGTTGCCCCCACGCGACGCCGGAGTCTGGCACCTCCTTCCCCGGCCGGAGCGCTGCTGCCGCCGCCGGAGCTCCCGGGGCCGCAGCGCACAAGCTCCTCGCCGAGAGAGCCCCCGCCCGTCCGCCGCCGCCGGCCCCGCCGCCGCCGGAGCGCCGCGTCACGGGCGCGGCTCCTCCCCCGCCGGCCGCGCCGCCCCGGCCTCCGAGACCCGCGGCGAGCCGCGGCCGCCGCCCCTCCGCTCTCCGCGAGCAGGGGCAGCCCCGCCGCCCCCCCGGCTCGGCTCGGCTCGGCTCGGCTCGGCTCGGCTCGGCTCGGCTCGGCTCGGCTCGGCTCGGCTCGGCTCGGCTCGGCGCGGCGCGGCTCGGCGCGGCGCGGCTCGGCGCGGCGCGGCTCGGCGCGGCTCGGCGCGGCGGGAGCTGCCCCGCGGCCGCTCGGAGGCGCCGCGCACCGATGTCCCCGCTGCTGCCGCTGCCGCCCCGTCGGCGGTCGGTGTGTGGCAGCCTCCGCCGTGGAAGCGAGGAGGCTGGAGGAGGAAGCCAGAGGAAGGGAGGGAGGGATGCCTGGGGACTCCGCCGTTCTGCCCGCGCCTCGCGGCGGCAGGGCACTGCAGGAGAGGGAGTGTGGGGCGTGGGGAGACCTCCGGTGTCGAACGACTCCGGTATCCGCGTTGTTCGGCAGAGCCCCGTCCCTTCCTCTGTGGGATCCCTGTTGCCCACTAGCACAGTTAGGCACGTTTGTGAGCCGCTGCGAAGCTCCGGCTTGGGTTAGGGTTTTCTTGTATGAAGAAGTAGAATATTCCGCGCTGCTTTCGTGCAAAGTAGCGCGTGTTCCTACAGGATGAGTCCCAGCTGAAATGGCCGGTTCATGGAAGGCCATTCAGGTTGTGCCCTCTGTCTTGTAGCTTCTAGCTCCTAATTTTTACAGATTTAATCTTCTCGGTCTGAAAACGTGCATCCCTAGTGTCTGCATCTACCCAATATTTCGAGGAACTACTTAAGATGGATTTGCTGCCATTGAGAATTAGGCACATGCTGGGAACTTGTTCTACCATTGTGTGTGCTTCTTTATAAATGACTGCCATTGAGACATATACCTATGCCTTAAAGTCAAGATGTATGTATAAGCATTACTATTTGTTTTGCCAAGAGTATCATCCCCTTTCCTACCTTGCCTGTTTCCAATAGTTAAAACTGCAATAGTACACAAAAAAATTGGCTAATATGTTTCAGTGGATCTTTGCAGGAGCAAAGAAGCTTGTACCATTGCTAAGTTTTTCCATGTTTAGAGCTTTTTCTAATATCTTAGAGAACATACTTCAAAGTTTGGTTATTCATGTTTTTCCATTTCTCCCACTAGACAAAATGTTGAAGTATTGGATTCCATCTTTGAAGAGCAGTAAGGACTGCTGCAGTCACTGGGTATGAATATTGAGAGCTACTGTAGTTGCTGAGGGAGGGGAAGCTCAGTCCATCCATCGCTTACTATTTTGATGCCAGGGCCAACAAGGGATCCTCAGAGCCTAGAGAGGGATGGCAGGTCAGTAAGAAAGTTCCTGAAAGGCAGCACAAAGGAATTCCAGCCTGTAAGTTAGCTTCTGGTGGCAGAGAGGGCAACTTAAACGTCTCTGTGTACACAAGTGTGTTGTGCTATTGGAATGCATTGCACTCCACCTGGGGATGGATGAGGAGCCAACCAAAGACTTATAGGTCAGGATTAAAGGGAGGGCAGGGGCAGGTGACATTACAAAGGGATTCTGCAACAGGCTGCTTGACCAGGAAGACCAAGGAGATGAGTCCCTCAACAGACAGAGAGGAGGAACTCCTCATGTTCATAAGCCCTCGTCCTCACAGGGGGCTTCAACCAGCCCAACATCTGAACAACACAGCAGAGCACAGGCAATCCAGGAGGTTCCTGGAATGCCTTGGTGGATACTTCCTTCTCCAAGTCATAGAGGAGCCAGTGAGGAGAGGTGTTATGGTGGACCTTATTCTCACCAACAAGGAGAGGGCTGGTGGGAAATGTGAAGCTCAAGGCCTGCAGTGACCATGAAATGGTGGAGTCCAAGATGCTTCAGGCAATGAGGAGGAAGAACACCAAGTCCATCACCATGAACTTCAGGATAGCTGACTTGGCCTGTTCAGGGGTCTGCTTTAACTTGGGATAAAACCCTGGAGAGGTGCATGGGGAAGCTGGTTAATAGTCAGGGACCACCTCTTCCAAGTAATGCATCCCGACAGAAAGGAAGTCAGGCAAGCCCACAGGAGACCTGCATGGATGAACAAGGGGGTTCTGGAAGCTCAAATACTAAAAGGAAACCTATAGAGGGTGGAAGTAAAAATGGGTATTCTGGGAGAAATACAGAGACCTAGTCTGAGTACCCAGGGGTCAGCTAGGGAAGATAAAGCACTGTTAGTATTAAACTTAGCCAGGGACAAAAGGGCAAAAATAAAAGCTTCTATAGGTACATCAGTGGTAAAATAAAGAATAGGAAAAATGTGGGGCCTCTCCAGAATATAGATTACCTGGGACATGGAAAAATCTGAGGTACTTCATGACTTTTTTGCCTTAGTCTTTATGGGCAAGTGACTCCAACCTCTCTGCCCTAGTCATAGAAGGCAAAGGCAGGGATATGTAAAATGAAGAACCATCCACTGTAGAGAAGATCAGATTCAAGAACATCTAAGGAAACTGGATGTGCACAATTCCATGGGTTCTGATGAGATGCATCCCCAGGTCATGAGGGAGCTGGTGGAGAAAGAGGTTAAGCCACTGTATTTGAGAAGTTGTGGTCAGGTGGACTTCCCATGACTGGAAAATGGGAAATATTAATCTCATTTTTAAAAGGAGAAATAAGGAAGACTCAGGGAACTACAGGCCAGTGAGTGTCACCTCAGCATCCAACAAGATCACAGAGCAGACCTTTCTCAAAACTATGATAAGGTACATAGAAAATGAGGAGATGACTGACAGCCAACATGTCTTCACTAAGAGCATCTCTGGGAAGAAGGACTTGGGATGTTGGTGGATGAGACGCTTGTCATAACCCAGCAATGTGAACTTGCTGCCCAGAAAGTCAAAATTGAAAGAGTAGCCAGTAGGTCTAAGGAGGTGATTCTTCCCCCGTGCTCAGCTGTCATGAGACCTCCCCTGGAGCACTCAGTGCTGGGACAGCCAGGATAAGAACATGGACCTCATGGAGCTGCCAAGGGATGGCCACAAAGGCCTGGAGATCTCACCAATTAAGTCAGGCTGAGAGAGCTGGGGCTGTTCTGCCTGGAGAAGGCTCCAGGTAGACCTTAGAGCACCTTCCAGTACCTAAAGTGGGGCTACAAGAGAGCTGGAGAGGGACTGTTCACAAGGTCATGTAAAGATAGGACAAAGGAGCATATCTTTAGGCTGACAGAGTGTACCACAAAGTTGTCAGGTGGCTAAGAGAACAAATGTCATATCCACAGACCTTTTGAACACTTCCAGACAGGCAATTCCACCTCTTCCCTGGGCAGCCTGTTCCAAAGCCTGACTGCCCTTTCAGGGAAGAAATTATCCTTTATATACAATCTAAACCTCTGGCACGATTGAGGCTGCTTTTTCTTGTCCTGTCACTTGCCAGGGAGAAGACACTGGCTGCCATCTGGCCACAACCTCCTTACAGGGAGTTGTGAAGGGTGATAAGGTGCCTCCCGAGCCTCCTTTTCACCAGGCTGAACAGCCCCAGATGCCTCAGCTGCTCCTTATCAGACTTGTGCTCCAGACCCTTCGTCAGTTCCATTGCCCCTGTGCTGGATCCTTTCTGTCCTAGTTTGCTTTTGTCACCAAGGCTAAGCATATGTATTCTTAGGAATCTGATTTGATACAAATGGATGTAGGGAGATGCAATTCTTAGTTTCATTTTCTTAAGGAATCTAGCTTGTCTGAGCATACACTCCGTTTTGTTTTCTGCTTCAGTAGCTTTTCAAGTTCTGGATTCAATAACCTACATTTGACAAAGAAGTAATATAAAAAGCACTTATGTTGATGCTTCCTCAATGTCAGATCAATCATTTTTATTTAAATATAAATGAAGAATCAACCAGGAAATGGTTTAGCAGTGCCTCATTGCCTACTATTAGTATCATGCTGCAATACTTGCCAGTCTTTGCATTTATTGAAGGTATAAGGCTCCAGACTTCAAAAATCAATCCACTTTCTAAGCAGTCAAGTCATTCTTCTCTAAAGTATTAGGAAGTAGTGAAGGAAAATAAGACATTGCTTTCACCTACATTGAATTTACTTGCTTGTTTTTTGCATATAACTTTATGTTAAATGCTCATGGCTTAAGAATTAGACTGCATTGACCTAATGTAGATTTTAAAACATTCTGATGTATATTGATCTTGAAACACTATATAATAGAGTATCAGGCAATTAGCAAAGTCTCTTGCATTTTCAGAACCAAAGTGCTGCAGCATTTTGATTTTTATAAGGTGCTTGTACATATATATATATAGATGTACCTATACATGTATATTCTTTTGCATACAGAACTTGTATCCAGGTGCATGTAGAGTGCATTGTTTTAAATGTATGTTTAGTTAATGTCTTTGTTTAACAATACATCATTTAGAAAGAGAAAAGTGGTGTGGGACTTCTCTTTTAAAATAAGAATGCTGAAATTACATGTCTGCAGAAAGTTCACACAGAAGCTGCCAGTCAATTACTTCTGTTATCCTGATAGTCTAAGTAACTCGATCATTGTATTAATCTATTATAGTTGCACTAAACTACAAAAACATAGAATAAAACTGTTCAGAATGCATGTCTGTGAAGATTCACAAATCTCTCTTTCAAACCCATGGAAAATCTTTTGTGTTTCTACAAACAGTGCTAACCATACTTATCAGTCCATTCAGAACTGTATCATCCCC